CATCTTGGAAAAGCGATCGACGATCATGAGGATGACCGTATGACCCCGAGACACCGGGAGGTCTACAATAAAGTCCATACCTAGATGTGACCAAGGACACTCCCCATTGGGAATGGGTTGCAGAAGACCCAAAGGGAGATGCCGTAGAGACTTATTCTGGGCACAGATCGAACATGCCGCTACATAAGAGGCAATGTCGGCACGGAGGGTTGGCCACCAGAATAAGCGAGAGACGACCCAACACAGCTGGTTCTTCCCCGGATGCCCGGCAGTTTTGGCGTTATGGTAGGTACGCAGCAGGCGGGTGCACAATCCCTCAGGTACGAAACATCTACCCCCTGGCTTCCCAGGAGGAGCATCAGTTTGAGCCGCCAAAATCTGCTCCCCAAGAGGAGAGGTCAGACTGGTGCGAATGGCAGCCAGGATCTGATCTGGAGGTATAAGTGAGATTGGCTCAGAGTCTTCCCTGGACAACTCAGAGTATTGCCGTGATAACGCATCAGCCCTGACATTCTTGGAACCAGGCAAATATGAAACCACATAGTTGAAGCGTGACAAGAACAGAGCCCATCTGGCCTGGCGGGGTGTCAATCTCTTGGCCTCCGAAAGATAAGTCAGGTTCTTGTGATCGGTAAGAATGAGGACCGGAACCGCGGAACCCTCGAGCAGGTGCCTCCACTCCTTGAGAGCCAGGATGATGACCAACAACTCCCGATCTCCAATCTGGTAGTTGCACTCTGCAGAGGAAAGCTTCCTGGAGTAGAACCCGCAGGGAAGTAGGGGTCCATCGGGCAACCGACGCTGAGACAGGAGAGCCCCTACTCCCGTCTCGGAAGCATCAACCTCGAGGACGAAGGGCAACCCAGGATTGGGATGTGAAAGAATCTGAGCCGAAGCAAAGGCGGCTTTCAGAGCCTCGAAAGCTATGATGGCCTCGGATGGCCACTCGTGAGGGTTACTCCCCTTCCTGGTTAGGTCAGAGAGAGGCTTTGCCAATGTGGAGAAGTTCCTGATGAATTTCCGATAGTAGTTGGCAAAACCCAGAAAGCGCTGAATGGGCCGAAGACCATTGGGACGAGGCCACTGCAGAACCGCAGCAACCTTCTGAGGGTCCATGGAAAATCCCTCCGCGGAAATTATGTAGCCCAAAAAGGCAACTTGGGATCGATGGAACTCGCACTTCTCGAGTTTACAAAAGAGTCCGTTCTCACGCAATCGTTGCAGCACCTGCTTGACATCCTGGACATGAGACTCCATGGAGGTAGAGTAAACCAAGATGTCATCCAGGTAAACCACTACGCACTGCTGCAGCAAATCACGAAGGACATCGTTTATGAATTCCTGAAAAACCGCGGGCGCATTACACAATCCGAAGGGCATCACCAGGTATTCATAGTGCCCGGTTCTGGTGTTAAACGCTGTCTTCCACTCATCCCCCTGTCTGATCCGTACGAGGTTGTACGCCGCCCTAAGGTCGAGTTTGGTAAAGACTGTTGCTCCCTTAAGGCGGTCGAACAACTCAGAAATCAAAGGAATCGGATATGCATTTTTAATGGTAATCCGATTGAGACCCCTATAAATCGATGCAGGGCCTCAATTCCCCACCTTTCTTCTTTACGAAAAAAAAAACCCTGCTCCTGCTGGAGAAGTAGACTTACGAATGTGCCCCCGGGAAAGCGCATCCACAACGTACTCCTCCATGGCCTTATTCTCCGCAACCGAGAGAGGGTACACCCTGCCATGTGGAGGAGTGGCCCCGGGTTGCAAGGATATGGCGCAGTCGTAAGGACGATGCGGTGGTAAGGTACCAGCGCGTACCTTATCAAACACGTCCCGGTACTCCCCACAGTCGGTGGGCAACGCAGAGTCTGAGGAGGCACACAATACCTTAACCGGCCCCCGGATGCACCTGGCCCCACACTGTGGAGACCATGAGAGAATCTCGGCTGTTTGCCAATTGAAGGTTGGATTGTGCCTCTGGAGCCAGGGATACCCAAAAACCACCGAATAGTGTGGGGAAGAAATCACCTGAAAACAGGCCAACTCCCTGTGAACAGCCCCAATGGCTACCTCTATCGGCAGAGTCTCGTGGGTAACCTGCGGTGGCTGCAGGGCTGCCATCTATGGCTTCGAGAAACCAATGGGGTGGCGCGAGCCTGCAGGGGAATGGAGTGCTGTACAGCAAACGAGCTGTCCAAGAACAACCCACCGGCCCCAGAGTCTACCAACGCCTGGGCCGTCCCCGAGCCCTCCGTCCAAGAAAGGACCACGGTGATCAGTGGCTTATCCTTGCGGAACGCCGGGGACGAGGAAACTCCACCCAAGATCTGTCCCCGACATGATCTCAGGGCAGCGACCCTCTCGACGCCCACGGCTGAACAGAAAAAAAAAAGAACATTTCATGTATGCCCAGCATTAGAAGTGGGTGGATGCAGGGCATTATATTCTAATGGTGGACATAGAACACACTTTTTCTGGCAGAGGTTTATTCTCTTTTTTTCATTCAGCTCACAGGCTGCATTAAAAAAAAGAACATAATGTATATGCGCAACAAGAACCAGAGGCCTACTGGTACATCACTGGACTTTGGACGTGGTTATACCAGGATGATGCCTGCAGCTGCAGCCATCATCCTGGTATCATTTCTTTCAGCCAGTGATTGGCTTTCATGTAAAATCAGTGGCTAATTAGCCACATGATTGCTTTTACAAGCATCAGGAGAAGATGCCCCCTCCCACGGCTTTCTCGGACAGTCCCGTGCCATCAGGGGAACCTGAGAATGCAGCCAGCAGTTCCACTGGATGACAATAGAGCTGATCGGAAACTGGAATGCCTCCAATCATCTCTATGGTTTTAGAGACAAGAATCTTTTCCATTTTGCCAGATATAAGCAGCGCCATTTTAAAATTGGGAAAGCATCTGATCACATCGGTCTTGGTGTGATCAGATGCTTTAAGGACAGAGGAGAGATCTAGAGTCTAATAGACCCAGATTTCTCAGAAAAGAATACCTGTCACTGCCTATTGCTATCACAGGGAATATTTACATTCCCTGTGATGACAATAAAAGTGATTTAAAAAAAAAAATGAAAGGGACAGTGTAAAAAAAATAAAATCAAAAAATGAAAGCACCCTTGTCCCCCCATGTGCATGGCCAATGGTGTGCGCAATCGGCGGCCCTATGTTGGTATGTAAACAATGGTTGCACCATGCATGTGAGGAATCACCGCGAAACGTCAGATCAAGAGCAGAAATTCTAGCACCAGAACTCCTGTGTAAATCTAAAGTTGTAGCCTGTATAGCTGTTAAAGAGTCTCCTATGGATAATAAAAATATATGTTGTTTGTCGCCATTGCCCAGGGCATGCACAGTTTTTAAAGCATGTCATGTTTAATATCTATTTACTCACCATAACATCATCTTTTATATTTTACCAAACAATTGGCCAATATATTGTTTTTTTTGCTCATTAAAATTCACATACGTTTTTTTTTTTAAAATTGCGTTTGAAAAATCGCTGCACAAGCACTGTGTGACATAAAAAATAATTTTCTAGCAAAAAAATACTTTTTTTTTTTTCCATGTGAACATCCCTCCCATGACCCCTTTTTGGAAAGTAGACCCCCCCAAACTATTTGCTGGAAAGTAGACCCCCCCTCCCAAACTATTTGCTGAGAGGCATGTTGAGTCAATAGAAAGATTTATTTTTTGGAAAATTAAAATTTTTTTTTTTTTTTACAAAAAAGTTGTCATTTAAATGATATATTGCTCACACATGCCAATAACATATGTGGAATTACTCTCCAAAATAGATTTGTCTACTTCTCGCGACTAAGGGCATACCACATATGAGAGACTTTTTAGCAGTCTAGCCACATACAGGACCCTAAAATCCAATAAGCACCTTCAGACTTTAACCACTAGCTTACAGGGCACTTATACCCCCTTCCTGCCCAGGCCAATTTCCAGCTTTCAGCGCTGTCGCACTTTTATTATTATTACATTATTACATCGAGTTTATATAGCGCCAAAGGGTTTGCTCAGCGCTGTACAATAGAGGGGGGGACAATACATGGCACAGTACAACAACAACAAACAACGTACGAGGGGTAAGAGGGCCCTACTCTTTCGAGCTTACAATCTAGGAGGGAGTGGGTAAAGGTACAGTAGGAAGTGGCTGAGGGGAATGAGGGGTGGTAGGAAAGAGGGAGAATGGCCGTTAGGTGAGGGTGGGGTAGGCTTCCCTGAAGAGATGGGTTTTGAGGGAGTGCCTGAATGTGAAGAGGGAAGGCAACAGTCTGATGGATTGGGGCAGTGAGTTCCAGAGCATGGGGGAGGAGCTGGAGAAGTCCTGCAGTTGTGCATGGGAGGAGAAGACCAGGGAGCAGGATAGAAGGAGGTCCAGTGAGGAGCGAAGGGTACGGGTAGGGCGGGGGTACTTGGGGATTAGGTTGGTGAGGTAGTCAGGGGCAGTGTTGTGAACGGCTTTGTAGGTCAGGGTTAGAAGTTTAAATTTAATGCGTTGGGCAATCGGGAGCCAGTGGAGGGAGAGAGGCAGAGGGGGGTGGCAGAGGTGGAACGGGTGGTGAATGACTTTGAATGACAATTGCGCAGTCAAACAACACTGTACCCATATGAAATTTTTATCATTTTTTTTGTGACAGATAGAGCTTTATTTTGGTGGTATTTAATCACCTCTGGGTTTTTTATTTTTTCTTAAACAAACCAAAAACCACTGAAAAGTTTGAAAAACCAAAAATGTTTTTTCTTAGTTTTTGTTATAACATTTTGTAAATTCGTGATTTTTCTCCTTCTCTGATGTGCGCTAATGAGGCTGCACTGATGGGCACTGATAGGCTGCACTGATGGACACTGATAGGTGGCACTGATGGGCACTTATGAGGAGGCACTGGTAGGTTGCACTGGATGGGCATTGACAGGCATCACTGATGGGCACTGAAAGGCAGCACTGATACATGGCACTGATAGGCAGCACTGACTGGCACTGATAGGCTGCACTGACTGGCACTAATAGGCTGCACTGACTGGCACTGTTAGGCGGTACTGACTGGCACTGATAGGCGGCACTGATTGGCAGCACTGATAGATTGCACTGATTGGCATTGATAGGTGGTACTGACTGGCATTGATGGGTGACACTGAAAGGCAGCTCAGATGGGCACTGATATGTGGCATTTATGTGCACTGGTAGACACTGAGATGTGGCATTGATGTGGTACTGATGGGCACTGGCACGAGGCACTGATGAGCACTGACATAAGGTACTGATGGACACTGACAGGTGGCACTGCTGGGGCTACACTGATCATCAGGGCACACTGATGATCAGCGTGACAGCTCAAGAGGATAGAAATGCCGATAACCGGCATTTCCCTGTTTACATGTGATCAGCTGTGATTGGACACAGCTGATCACATGACCGAGCCGACATCTTCAGCTCTTTCTGTGATCGGTGATCCGCTGTGTCCGAGGGACACAGCGCACCGCCGATCGCCGCGTTGCACGCTCCCTGAGCTGCGCATGCGCATGTCTTTTTAGTGAGAATGGGAGGACATCATATGAACGAGAACCACCTTGCGCCCGTCATATTACTATATGGCAGGTGGGAGGTGGTTAAAAGGGCTATATTTTCTCATTACACTTCCTGACTACTTATCACAGTTTCGGAGGCCCTGAAATGCCAGAATAGTACAACCTTCCCTCCACCCCCCCCCATGACCCCTTTTTGCAAAGTATACAGAATTTGATAAGAGGCATGGTGAGTATTTTGCAAATCTTGTTTGTTACCACAAGTTTTTTGGAAATGAACATAAAGAAAATGAAAACTTTTTTCTTTTTTTCTATTTTTCAAAAACTTGTGAGAAAAAATTGGATCTGAAAAATACTCACCACGCCTCTTATTAAATCTCTTGGGTTTCTACTTTCCAAAAAGGGGTCATTTGGTGGGGGGTTGGTTCTATTCTGGCATTTTTCAGTATCTTTGAAACTCTTATAGGTAGTGAGGAAGTGAAATAAGGAAGTTAGGCACTTCAGACTTTCAAAGGGGTAACTGAATTTCAGGCTCCTGTATGTGGATAGGTTCCCAAAAAGTCTCACACATGTATTCCCATACTCTGCGGAAGTAGCAGAATGTATTTTGGGGTGTAATTCCATACATACCCATGACATGTGTGAGCAAAATATAATTTGTGACAATTTTGTATATTAAAAAAAAAAGTAATTTTCCCCAAACTTCTGGAAAAAAATAAATCTTCCATGGACGCAACAGGCCTCTCATCAAATAGCTTAGGGTGTCTACTTTTTGAAAAAGGTTCATTTGGGGGTGTTTGCCCTAGCATTTTATCACCTCAAGAAATGTGATAGGCAGTCAGAAAGTAAAAGCTGTGTAAATTCAGGTATCTATACCATAGTTTGTAGACGCTATAAATTTCACACAAACCAATTAATATACACTTATTGGGATGTATTTTACAAAGACATGTAGCAAAATACATTTTGACCTAATTCTATGAAAAAAAATTGATTAATAGATATTTTTTATAACAGAAATTAGAAAAAAATTCAACATTTTCGGTGTTTTTTTTTTTAGTTTATAGAGCAAAAAAAAATCTAAAACCCCAAAGGTAATAATCAAATACCAGCAAAATAAAGCTCTATTTGTGGGAAAAAATGACATAAATTTTCATTTATGTACAACATTGCATGACCGCACAATTGTCAGTTAAAACTAGCACAGTGCCAAATACCAAAAAAAGGCAGTCACAAAGTAAAAGCTGTGTAAATTGCAGTATCTATACCATAGTTTGTAAACGCTATAACTTTCACACAAACCAATTAATATACACTTATAGGGATTTATTTTTTTTTTTACCAAAGATGTAGCAAAAAATATTTTGGCCTAAATTTATGATGAAATTTGAGTTTATTGGATTTTTTTTGTAAATGAGAAAATATCTTTTTTCAAATATTTTGTTTTTTTTTATTTATAGCACAAAAATAACAAAGCCGGGGTGATGAAATACCACAAAAGAAATCTTAATTTGTGGGAAAATAATGATATACATTTAATTTATGTACATCATTGCACATCAGCGCAATTGTCAGTTAAACTACTGCAGTGCTGTATATCAAAAAATTGTGTAAATTACAGTATCTATACCATAGTTTTTAGATGCTATAACTTTCACATAAACCAATTATCATACACTTATTGGGAATTTTTTACCAAAGACGTAGCACAATACATTTTGGCCTAAATTTATGACAAAACTTGAATTTATTGGATATTTTTTATTTTAGAAAAATAAATTAGAAAATTAGAAAATATATTAAGCAGGAATAAAAATGCGATTACTCAGTGGGATAGAGAAAGCATTGGAAGGCATGAATCAATTTTTTGAACGTAGGGAATCACCATCAAACTATAGAAAAGTATTTATGCCTGAAATTCAGCTTTAACCCTTTCACCCTGCTCTCCACTTTTAAGCTCAGGTGGCCAGACCAGTTTTGCAATGTTTTCATTGTTTTTAAATTTTTCCTTTACAGCTTTCAGAGTTTGTAAAAGACTCCCAAACTATACATTCTCTGACAGCACAATAGCAGTAGAATAATAAAGAGGGTGCTACTGACTTAAGGACCCGTGATATTTGTGCAATTGTTTATTTTTGTAAAAAAATACACTAAAATCATTATTAGCAGATAAAACCAGAACGTTATACATAATTCTTGATAAATTCCAACTAAATATAAAAGCTTAACCTGTATTGAATTAATAAATAACAAATATGTGTACATTTTAAATTGCGCGCTTTTTGTGAAACATGCAAAAACTGTAAATAAACCTAATTACTCTAAAAAATCTAGAGGTTTAATTTTTTCCTTACAACTTTCAGAGTTTGTACCTCCTAAACCATGTATTTTCTTAAAGCATATGACCAGTAGATTAAAAATAAGGTGCTACAGATTTTTAAGATCCGCAATATTTGAATAAAAATCTTCCAACAATCAGAGTATGCATATGCATGGCCAACCAATCTCTAAGCTCTGTGACCAGCTTACCATAACTCACAATCAGAATTTTTATTTCCATATACTTAAGAAAAAACATTTAAAAAGTCTCCTGATTTTAACTTGTCATATTACTAACATAAGCATTCATAAAAAAAATCAAATCTGCAATTTAAATGAATTTGTAATTGCTAAAATATTATGAGCAGTCACAAATTACAACGTTGTAGAGGAAAAAAAAATCCCTGTTCTAGATTTTCTTGTTACTTACTTACTTTCCACATTTAACTGTTGTGTCAAGGATCAGTACTGAAAAGTAAAAATCAACATTTGTTATAATTACCATTTCAAGTAAACAGCATGATGTTAAAAGCAGAAAATTGTCATGGCTAATCAGTTCTGCTGATTAGCATTGTGAAATCAAAATGACAGCTATATTTACCACAGTACAGTTGTATGTCTTGTTACTAATCAGCTCCTACACTGCGAAACAAGATTCCGCATAAATGTTTTTTTTATATATGCAAGAAAACTTTAGGTGCATGGCATGTATAAGTTCTTGCTTCTCCTCCTGTGAAGTCTCACTGTTCTTGTTCCTGTAAAGGTTTTCTCATTGCATACTGGGGCTTAGCGCTCTGTTCTGGGCATGGTTTTAGGGCCTGCATCTGAATCGCACAGGAACACGCTGTGTATTTCTGTGTGAACCACATCTAGTTTCTGTGTGGTGCAATTTCAGCCCATTTATTTTGAATGGGCTGAAATTGCATTGCACCAAAAGTAGTGCATGCACTAACTTATTTAACCACATGGTAACCACGGGCTATAAGCCGATTGATGGCTACAGTGCGGTTATCCATCATGTTCTGGAAGGGCACCATATGACGTCCTCCCAGAATACACGCTCTTCCGCGCGCCACCCCAGCGCACACAGCCAGCGATCTCCCATGATCAATGTGTCCTATGGATACAGCTGATCACATGATGAGGTAAAAGGCCAATCACAACTGACTTTTACCATGTGATCAGCTGTGTCCAATGACACAGCAGATCACTGAGTAAATGCAGTTGCTGGTTATCAACAGCACTTTCGCTGTGACAGCGTGAGTAAAGCATTGCAGTTAACCAGCAGCTGTCACAGAGCAGATCAGCACTGATCATTAGGGCACTGATGATCAGTGCCCATCAGTGCCGCCCATCAGTGCCTCCCACCAGTGCCCAGCAGTGTTGCCCATCAGTGCCGCCAGTCAGTGCTGCCAGTCAGCGCCACCCATCATTGTCACCCATTAGTGCCGCCTATGAGTGACCATCAGTGCGGCATAATCAGTGCCTCCTCATCAATGCCCAACAGTGCTGCCTCATCAGTGCAGCCTGTTTAGTGCCCATCAATGCTGCCTATCCATGCAACTTCATAAGTGCACATCAGTGCTGCCTATCAGTGCCCATCAGTGCTGCCTATCAGTGTGCCCATCAGTGAAGGAGATAAATTAGCTGTTTGAAAACATTTTATAATAGAAACAAACAAAAAACTTTTTTTTTTAAATGTTTTGGTCTTTTTTTATAGTATAGTAAATAGAAATAAAACCCAGGT